TTTTATTGATTTGGGTCTTTTCTCTTCTTTTTTTAGTTAGTTGGGCCAATGGGGAGTCAATTTTGTTTATTTTTTCAAAAAACCAGCTCCTCGTTTGGCTGATTTTTTGTAATTTTTTTTGGATTCAATCCTGTTGATTTCTTCTCTGATTTTAATGATTTCTCTTCTCCTACTAGATTTGGGTCTGGTTTGCTGTAGGTTTTCTAGATCCTTGAGATGCATTGAAAGCTCATCTATTTGGTGCCTTTCCAATTTCTTGATGTAGGCACCTATTGATATAAACTTTCCTCTTAACACTGCTTTTGCTGCGTCCCATAAGTTTTGGTATATTGTGCTGTTATCCTCATTTACTTCTAGAAAATTTTTGATTTCTCGTTTAATTTCTTCTATGACCCATTGTTCATTCAGGAGCATGTTGTTCAATCTCCATGTGTTTGCGTATGCTCTAGGGATTCCTGAGTTGCTAATTTCCAACTTCATTCCTTTATGGTCTGAGAAGCTGCACGGTATGATTCTAATTCTTTTGAATTTCCTGAGACTTGCTTTATGGCCTAGTATGTGGTCAGTCCTAGAGAAGGTTCCATGTCCTGCTGAGAAGAATGTAAAATCTTTAGCTGTAGGATGGAAAGTTCTGTATATATCTGTTAGATACATTTGGGCTATAGTGTCGTTTAAATCTACTGTATCCTTGTTGATCTTCTGTCCTATTGATCTGTCTATTTCTGAGAGTGGAGTATTGAAGTCCCCCAGTACTATTGTATTGGGGTCTAAGTCTCCCTTTAAGTCCCTTAACAAATCTTTTAGATAAACCGGTGCCCTGTAATTAGGTGCATATACATTGATAATCGTTATATCTTCTTGTTGAATTGATCCCTTAATCATTATATAGTGTCCTTCTTTGTCACTCTTAACAGTTTTTGTGGTAAAGTTTATGTTGTCCAATATTAAGATGGCTACGCCTGCTCTTTTTTCATTTCTGTTGGCATGGTATATCTTTTTCCAGCCTTTCACTTAGTCTGAATGCATCTTTGTTGGAAAGATGTGTTTCTTGTAAGCAGCAAATAGATGGGTTTTGTTCCTTAACCCAATCAGGCAATCGGTGTCTTTTAACTGGACAGTTCAGGCCATTAATGTTCAATGTGATAATGATAAGTGGTAACTTTGCCCTGCCATTTGCCAAAGATAAGTTCTAATATACACTTTGAATTCCCTGTGATCTTTTGTGAGGTTTCCTTCCTTTACCTTCTTTCATATTGATGACCGTGTTTCTGTGTTTCTGTGTGTAACACATCTTTAAGCATCTGTTGCAGGGCTGGACGAGTGGCAACAAATTCTTTCAATTTCTGTTTGCTATGAAAAGTCTTTATTTCACCTTCATTCACAAATGATAGCTTTGCAGGATATAATATTCTGGGCTGGCAGTTTTTCTCTCTTAGTACCTGGGCTATATCTCGCCATTCCCTCCTAGCTTGTAGGGTTTCTGATGAGAAGTCAGCTGTGAGTCTGATTGGAGATCCTCTGAGAGTAATCTGACATTTCTCTCTTGCACATTTTAGGATCTTTTCTTTACATTTCACTGTGGAGAGTTTAATTACAACGTGTCGTGGTGAGGATCTCTTTTGGTCGTGTTTATTAGGGGTTCTATAAGCTTCCTGTACTAGGATTTCTCGGTCCTTCTGCAAACCTGGGAAATTTTCTGCTAATATCTCACTAAAAAGGCATTCTTATCCTTTCTCCCTCTCCATGCCTTCAGGAACTCCTAGAACCTGAATGTCGGCTTTTTTCATAGTATCCTGAAGATTCCCGACAATATGTTTTAGATTTCTAATTTCCTCTTCTTTTCTTTGGTCTGACTGTATCCTTTCCTGTTCTCTGTCTTCTAAGTCCGATATTCTCTCTTCTGCTTCACCCATTCTGTTTGTAAGGCTCTCTAATGTGTTTTTCATTTGATCTATTGAATTCTTCACTTCATTATGATTTCTCGTCACTATCACAGTTTCATGTTCTACTAGTTGTTTCATTTCATTTTGATTCTTCCTTAATATTTCATTTTCACGAGAGAGATTTTCTGTCTTGTCCATTAATGATTTCTGTAGTTCAAGAATTTGTTTTTGAGAACTTCTTAATGTTCTTATCAATTTTTTGAGATCTGCTTCTTGCATTTCTTCTATCTCATCATCTTCATAATCTTGAATTGGGGTGTCTTTTTCATTTGGGGGCATCATAGTGGCTTCCTTGTTTTTATTACCTCGGTTTTTGCATTTGTTATTTGGCATATTGGAGATATTTGGTTTCTTCACTGTGGTGCTTTTTCTTGTTATACTATGACTCTAGATTAAGTGGACTGTCTGTTTTTGATGGAGCCTTAGAGGCTTGAGATGGGTGTGGCCTGAAAGCTCTGTTTGGTGTGCCAAGGTGACTCTCCCAGGTTAGGCGTGGTAGATCTCTCTCTCTCTCTCTCTTTTTTTTTTTTTTTTTGATTCAAAAGGGAAGTAATTCTGCACAGCTGAATGGAATTGGAGGTAGTTAGCAGGCAAATGATATACCCACAGGAGCCAGAGATCGGAAGCTCTTTCCCAAGGACCACACAGGGAATCTGTTTGGCCCTCAGAGTGGGCTCAAATTCTCCTTCAGTCTCCCACTGGGTTGCCAAAGTTACGGAATTGTAGTGTCTCTGGAGAGTACTCACGTGAATTCCATGAGTTCTCTCCCCTACCGTCTCTTTTTTCACAGTCTCAGTTCAGTAGCACCACAAATTCACTAGGTCCTAATCTCCTGTTAATTCACCCCGCCCAGAGTCAGGTTTTTCTGCTAGGCTCTGGGCCTGTGCAGACCTGAGGTCGCCCGGCTTATGATGTATGTCCAAGATGGCGCCTGGTCTTTGTCTTGCTTGCCTTTGAGAGGTGAGCGGAGAGAGAGAAACCCATGTCCGTATCAGTCACTTTTTTTTCTCTCTCTCTTCTAGTTAGCCTGGTGAACTTTTCCCCCCGGGGTCATTCCCTCTAGTCTCCTCTTTCCACTTGCCTGCCGGTGTCTCAGGCTTTTGAGGTTCGCTCACCTCGCGTTCCAGCGCTGGTGTGTTGAGTCTGCCACTGGTGTCCCGAATTGTGGGCTCCCACGCTCTCCACACAGGTCCACTGTGAATCACTCGTTCTGGAAGAGTTTCTCCTGCTGTTTCTTCCCCTACTCTTCCTTGGAGTATTAGCCATAAAAAGAGTGAAATCCTGACATTTTCAATAAAATGGATGCAATTGGAAATCATCATGCTCAGTGATATAAACTAGACCCAAAAAGACAAATAGCATCTGTTTTCTGCTATAAAAATTTTGTGGATGCCATATCATTTGGTATATAGTTATAATGCCACACTGAATCATACCATGTAAATTATAATATATTCTTATTTCACATTAAAAAAAGAAACAGAGGGAAAAAATAGTTAGGACTCTTGGATTAGTAGTGCTTTGTTTCTAACTTCAGTGTTGGTTTTGAGTTTGATACAATCACCCACAAGAAAAACCAACATTCATCTGTATATTTATGTGCATTTCTTTGTATGTACACTGTATTTCAATAAAATCTTTAATTTTTTTATCTTTTATAGTAATGTGCATTTTCTCAGTAACATACTGAGGCACCGTCTTCTTAAATGACATCTTCCATCATTTCCCTTTATAATGATTGTTTTCAAATGACTTTACTCATGGAAACTTTTCAAACTTCACTGGGTTAAGGTTGTAGGGAAAAGGTTTAAGCTTTGGATAATCTATACGAAGTTTTGAAAATCCACTGTAAGTATAATATCAGAGGTGTCTGGATGCTTTCCAGTAAATTGCTAAAATCTGTAAAAGGGGTAACAAGATAATGAGTTTCCTCTACTTCTTAATTAGGACACTATTTAAAACTGTTGGATCCTGCTCCTCTCATTTTGAATATAACACATTTAAATGGCTCTCCTGGACTTATCAAACACTAACTCAGTTACAATTATTTCGCTTATACCTAGAAGAACTGACATGCCTCACAGATATTCCCACCTATTTTGTGCCTCAGGGGGGTACAAAACAAACTACTTAGAAGCAAAGTCCTAACAGCAAGGCAAGTTCTAGCTAACACAGTAATTTGGAATACACTAATAAGTAGGTGGATTTCATTCCTAATTTAAACATCTTACAGATTTACAGTAGTAATTGTTGATATTGTATAGAGATGAAAGTTGAAAAATCATTAAGAAGAAAAAGTTATTGGTAAAATTCAGTTTAATATAGTTAATATTTTATTTTACTTTTAATGTTAAAATAAGCTGTGAATGTCACAGTACCTTTCACATATTATATATTTTATGTGCTATTTCAGCCAGCAATCAGTAACCAAAGTTCTGTTTAAATATTATTCTGAATTATTCCAAAGAAGATTGTCTGTGGGAGTTCTGAATATTCAAATGTTGGCAACTTGACTTTACAGGAGTAGGCAGCCTCTATCCCCAGCAATTCTATGAATATTTCCATTGTCTTGAGTAATGATGGGGATTTCCTATGAAGGAACTCCCTGTAGGATGGTAAGGGCGTGAACTGTAGATAAAGTAACCTTTTACCATATCGAAGAGTGAATGTTTTTGAACACCAAGTAGCAATTGACAGTGATTAAAAAGAAAAACTTTACATGTTAACCAGTGGTGGTAAAGCTTTAACCTGTAAAAATAATGACATTACTTTTGAACCAAAACTGGTAGGCTAAGATTTTCACCATCTCATAGTAATCTAAGCTGCTTTTTGTAATATCTCATTTTGTGAGTAAGGAAACAAGGCCTCAGAACAAGTAAAAGTTGGAAAGAAAAAAAAATGGTGATAGTGCTTATTAAAAATAAGGAAGGTGGAAATATGGGTGGTTTTTTTATTACCATGATATCACTATAAAGTAGTATTTTTTAAAGGACAAAAGTATTTTAAACATTAGAGACACTTGTAAGAATCTTTTTGGATCTACTTTCTATCCTTTAGGCAGATTCTGCTGAGAAACTTAGAGAATATGGACTGTCTCATATCTATAGCCATCCCGTGCTGGTAACAAGAAGTAGGTCTTGTCCTCTCATTCCACCACCAAAAGCACCTCCCATCTCTCCCTGGAAGCTTATTCGTCAGAAAAAGGAAGCTGTCATAACAGATGAAGCTCGAGGTTTGTATTACGATGTCTTAAAATAATTCTAATTAATATTTCCTAATGCAAAGGCCTAACAGTTGTGTGATGAAAGATATGTAACAGTAAATCAACCAACATTGCATCTAAAATCTACATTGAATTTTATACCCAAATCTTAAGTCTTTTAAGGATTAATTATCTCCATCCCAATAGTCAAGAAGTTTGGTTCATGTCTAAAGTGATCAGATAGTCCAAAGTCATTCTTTGAATAATGCAACATTAATTTGTAGTACATATTAGAGAAATTTAAATCATGTATACTTAGTCACTGGAGTGTATTACTAAGGTCAAAATCACTATAGGGCATCCAGTAGAACATAATCTGTGAATTATGAATTTATATTTAGAAACTGATAGTAATTGAACTGCCCTGAATTAGAAGTATGTGCTGCATTCAAAGGTCTGTCACATGGATTAAAGTATAAAGCCACAATGAACACACTCAGTGCCGTTTACTGAAGGAATCATTACTAAGATTATTCATAGATTTCTCAAGTCATAGGTCCTATGAAACCTGAACCGTGGTTTGTACTCCTAGTGGTAAGAATGACTTTGAACTACTATGACTCTTGTTACCACTTCAAATGTTGCCAACTCTTCATTGCAAGTAACAAAGAGAACCATATCCCATTAACAGGGCAAAACATAAGTCGCAGTGGTACTCAGCATCCTAAAACTACAAAGCCACACAGATCATAATATTTACCTGTTCCTTGCCTGTTATTTCCTACCATGATTCATACATCTTTAAAATATAAATAACAACTGTTAAACATGTAATTTTCTTTACATTTGCTTTCTGCCTACATCGGCACAGCCAGTACAGCTGATAGCAAAAATTTCTCCAGCCTAACGTACATTATCTTGCCAAAAAAGCACAAAGATTAAAGAAATAGCAGGTTTGTATGGAGATGAGAAATGGTCACTTCATTTCAACTCTCTCCCTCCTACTTAAATATTTTGGTCATTTATGTATATTTCTTGAGTTTCTAAAATGGGCTGCTGGTCCAATCAAATGCATCTGCTGCTTTGGGTAACAAGAACTTCCTAGTTTGTCTTCCTTCCTTCACTCCATCCTTCCTTTCTTCGTTGCTTTCTTTCCCTTGCTCCCTTCCTTCTTTTCTTTATCATCTTTGCTGAACCAAAATTAGCATGCACATGACACTTGAATCAGCTTTTACCTTTATATGCTGTGTTTCATTTAAATTCATTGAGACACTTGAAACAGTTATTCATCCAGAGCATTAAGTCACACCTGAGTGATAAGAACAATAGTGAACAAGTATCTTCTGACTTACCTACCAACTGTTGTGTCATTTTGTGTCAATAAGCACATTTTTTCTACCCTGAAGATGGAAATCTCATGATTGGTGAGATTCCACCATGACTGAGAGGGTCTCACGTCAAGGCTCCTCCCAATGAAGAGTGTTGCATGGCTTCTAGGATCCCATTTGAGATGTCCATGTCCCATTTCAGGGTGTCTGGGTTTGGGGACCAACTCTGTTTCTGAGTTCTGAGTTAAGCTTCTTGCAAGTATGTACCCTGGGTGGCGCCAGGTGATGACTCAGCTATTTGGGTCCCTGCCTCTGTGTGGGAGACTCAAGCTCTGTGTATTCTTTCAATAAAAACATGTTGCTTTGAACATTCCTTTCAAATTTATTGAAATTTGCTGGGTGAATAGCCTAACCATTACTTCATTAAATGTTAAATTGGGCATGCCATTCTGAAGAATTTTAAAACGTACATCACAGTACACTTGTTGCATTTCAGATATTGTAATAAAAAAGCCTGACCAGTTTCTTGAGATTTCAAGTCCATTTTTGAATTACAGAATGACTCCAATTACCATTCCAACAGAAACGTAAGTATATAACATTCTTTCCCACAAATGCACCTTGTTGATAAAGTATTTTGTGATGTGTGTGGTTAAAAATAAGAAAAAATAAGAGAATTTGAAGCATATTAATTTAGGAAAATTCAAAATGCATAAAGATGTATTAGAGGATATTTCCTTGATGTTTTACAGCATATAATGACATGTTTTTTTTTTTTAATTAACAAACATTTTCCTTCTCTTATATGTGTGAGTGTTATGGACTGCCTGTGCTCCACTAAAATTAATACAATGAAACCCTTTATGTGGCTGTATTTAGAGATGAATCCTTAGGAGGTAATTGAGCTTAAATGATGTCATACGGGTAGGACCTTGACCCAACGGGATTAATGTCCTTATGAGGAGAGACCTCAGGGAGCTTGTACTCATGCTCTCTTTCCCTTTCCATCTTCTTGTCCCCTCCACTTTCCCCCTTGGGAAAGGCCATGGAAGCACACAGAAAACAGGTAGATATCTGAGAGCAAGGAAGAGAGGTCTTGCAAGATGACATCCGCCTTAACCTTAGACTTCCAGTGAGAATACACGTTTCTCTTATGTATGCCACCCAACCTTTGGTATTTTGTCATAGCAGCCTGAGAAGTGGGGTGCTGCTATAACAACTATCCAAAAATATGGAATTGGGTTTAGAACTGGGTAAGGGGTAGAGGTTGGAATAATTTTGAAGTACGTGCAAGGAAAAGCCTCCATTGCTGTTAAGAGACTATTGTTAGGTGATTCTGGTGATGGCTCAGGAAGAGAGAGAGCTGCAAAGAAAGGCTTCATCTTCTTAGAGAATATATGGGTAACCATGAACAGAATGTTGCAGATATGTGGATATTAAAGGGCATTCTGGTAAGATCTTGCATGGAAATGTGAGATAGGCTAAATGAAACTGAACTAAAGGCCATCCTTATAATAAAATAGCAAAGAATTTGACTGAATCATGTCCTTGTGTTTTGTAGAATTAGAACTTCTGAGCAATAATATTGGGTATTTAACTGAGGAGATTTCCGAGCAAAAACATTGAAGATGTAGACTGGGAACTTCTGACTGCTTATAATAAAAATAAATGATGAGAGAGATGAACCAAAAAATTGTTAATTAAAAAGGAACCATAAGTTAAAGATGTGGAAAGTTCTCTTTCTGTTCATATTGCAAAACATGAGAGAGCTTGTTCTGGAGAGAACACCAATGTGTAGCTGGCCTACCACAGTTAAGGATACTGTGGGATTCTGCAAGCAGAAAGGGGGTGAAAATGGAACAGAGTGAAAGAGGTCAGTCAGGAGATGGAAGGACTTGACTCACCCCATACAGGATGCTGGCATTTGCAGGTGGCAGCGTTACCCACTATACCACAATGATGGCCTCTTTTCGGGGTCTTTTTTGTTTCCATATGAATTTTAGGAAATTTTTCCTATTTCCGTCAAGAATGTCCTTGGAATTTTGATTGGGATCATGTTGAACATGTAAATTGTTTTGGGTACTATGGACATTCTCATGAACTGTTTTAAACCAATAAAAATAAGATTCTTGTTTCATGTAAACATTAGCTGATGAGTGGTTTTGTTATTACTTGCTCATAAAACCACGCAAGCAACTATTTGTTATAGAAATCTGTAAGATGAAGGGAAAGGAAGGGGGGAAAAACTCATAATAATGAAGACAAAGGAGAAAGAATAGGAGCAACCGAAATATAAAAATATTTGAAGGTGACATTAGGGATAGAAAGGTACACTATGATCCAGAATCTAAACATATTAAAAGTTAAAAGTGACCAGAAGCCTAAAAATAGCAATAATCAAAAGGAATAATGGGTGACTTAAGTGAACAACAGGATGGTGGGCTTTAAGTTGTGTTAATTTTATATTCAGATGTAGATAAGTAATATCTGATGTACTGGGTACTTAAAAGTTCATGAAGGGCTGGCGCCGTGGCTCACCTGGTTAATCCTCCACCTGCGGCACTGGCATCCCATATGGGCACCAGGTTCTAGTCCCGGTTGCTCATCTTCCAGCCCAGTTCTCTGCTGTGGCCGGGGAGGGCAGTGGAGGATGGCCCAAATGCTTAGCCCCCTGCACCTATATGGGAGACCAGTAAGAAGCACCTGGCTCCTGGCTTCGGATCAGCACAATGCCTGCCATAGCAGCCATTTGGGGAGTGAACCAATGGCAGGAAGACCTTTCTCTCTGTCTCTCTCTCATGCTGTCTATAAATTTACCTGCCAAATAAATTTTTAAAAAGCTCATGAAAAAATGGAATTAAAAATAAAACACAAGACTGGCACTGTGGCATATCTGGTAAAACCACTGCCTAGTGCTGGCATCCCATATAGGCACGGTTTGAGTCCTGGCTACTCTACTTCTGATACAGCTTTCTTCTATGGCCTGGGAAAGCAGTAGAAGATGGCCCAAGTCCTTGGGCCCTTGCACTCACTGGGAGACCCGGAAGGAGCTCCTGGCTCTCCTGGCTTTGGATTGGCCCAGCTCTGGCTGTTGTGGCCATTTGGAAAGTGAACCAATGGTTGGAAGACTTTTCTCTCTCTCTCTCTCTGCCCCTGCCTCTCGCTAACTCTGCCTTTCAAATAAATAAATAAATCTTAAAAAAAAAGACAATTCATATTTTCCATGAACTTTTGAAGAATACTTGTATATCAAAAACTATTAAATGTGTTTTGTGAGGTTGTGCAAATAACTGTACTTCAACTATCCCTCAGAGTTTTAAAAATATAAAAACAGTAAATAATATGATTTTTAAAGTATATTTCCTCTCAGCCACACCAAAATTGTGCATCTACTCTATTTCAACATGAGGAACCTTAAAAAGACAATGATGTTGGGCACCAAAGTTAGAAAAGAATTCATGTTGAAAGTGTAGATCTTGCTGTGCTCTTGCTCTGTTGATGAAATGCAGTGGGTTTTTTTTCACTGTTTTAATAATTTTATTTTGGAGTGGTATGCTATATACCATAGATAACCAAAACAGTTGTTTTTAATTTAGCATTTCACCTCTTTCCTTTGGTGTTTGAAGGTTCAGAGGTAAACAACTAAGGTAATCCAAACCTGAGATTTTTCTGTAAACAATCATAATATTCAGGAGTACTTCCAGTGTTTCATTAATTAAATCCTGTAAAATCTCTGACTAGAGAACTGATATAGTATTTATGATGCAGGTAAATGTAAATGCTGATCTTTAGAGAACAATGATCATAAATGGTTTCCTTGGGAAATACAAATTTCGCAAGTACAACTTTAGGAATATAGTGATTCTTCCAACCATATCCGCCCTCCCACTCACACTCCCACCCCACCACCTCCTCCCTCTCCCATTCCCAGTCCGATTCTCCATTGAGATTCATTTTCAATTAACTTTATAGACAGAAGACTGATTCTATACTAAGTAAAGATTTCAACAGTTTGCACCCACCCACACACATAAATATATAAAGTACTGTTTGAGAACAGGTTTTGCAGTTAATTCTCAATTCATTAAGGACAAAGATCCTACACGGGGAATAAGTGCAGTGACTTCTGTTGTTAATTTAACAATTAACACTCATATATGACCCCAGTGATCACCAAGGCTCTTGACATGAGCTGCCAAAACTATATAAACCTTTTGTGACCACAAGCTCTGTCAGTATTTAGACAAGGCCATAAGCAAAATGGGAGTTCTCTCCTCCCTCCAGAGAAAGGTACATCCTTCTTTGATTGCCCCTTCTTTCCAACGGTGTCTCATGCACAGAGATACTTCATGTGGGATATATTTTGCCACAGTGTCTTGGCTTTCCATGCCTGAAATGCTTGCCATCTTACCTGGGTTGTTTGTTTTGTTGTTGTGGATTTTCTTGATCTCTTTGTAGATTCTGGTTATTAATCCTTTATCGGTTCCATAGTTTACAAATAAATTCTCCCATTCTGTCAGTTGCCTCTTCAAGTTTCTGAGTATTTCTTTTGCAGTACAGAAGGTTCTCGATTTGAATTAATGCCATTTGATAATTTTTGCTTTGAAAGCCTGTGCCTCTGGTGTCTTTTCCAGGAATTCTTTGCCTGTGCCAATGTCTTACATGGTTTCCCCAATGTTCTTGATTAATTTGATGGTGTCAGGTTGTAGATTTAGATCTTTAATTCACAGGGGTATTGCTTCATACTTCTGCATGTGGAAATCTGGTTTTTCCAGCACCATTTGTTGAAGAGACTGTCCTTGCTCCAGGAATTGGTTTTATCTCTTTGGTAAATATAAGTTAGTTGTAGATGTTTTGATTGATTTTTGGGGTTTCTATTCTGTTCCAGTGGTATATCCAACTATTTTTGTACCAGTTCCAGTCTGTTTTGCTTATAACTGCCTTGTAGTATGTCTTGAAATTTGGCATTGTGATGCCTCCAGCTTTGTTTTTGTTGTATAAGATTGCTTTAGCTATTTGAGGTCTCCTGTGACTCTATATGAATTTCAGCATTTCTTCTAGATCAGAGAAGCGTGTCCTTGGTATTTTGATTGGTATCGCATAGAATCTTTAAATTGCTTTTGAAAGAATGGACATTTTGATGACATTGATTCTTCCAATTCATGAACATGGAAGATTTTTCAATTTTTTGTATCATCTTCTATTTAGTTCTTTAATGTTTTGCAATTCTCATTGTAGAGACCTTTGACACCCTTGCTCAAATTTATTCCCAATATTTGATTGTTTTTGTAGCTATCTTGTGAATGGTATTAATCTTATAATTTCTTTCTCAGTCATGGCAAAATCTGTGTATACAAACGCTGTTGATTTTTGTATTGATATTATATCCTGCTACTTTACCAAACTCTTCCATGAGTTCTAATTGTCTCTTAGTGAAGTCTTTTGGATCCTCTATATGTATAGAATCATGTCATCTGCAAATAGGGGTAGTTTAACTTCCTCTTTTGCAATTGTATCCCTTTGATTTCTTTTTCTTCCCTAATGGCTCTGGCTAAAACTTCCAGGACTATATTGAATAGCAGTGGTG